TTCTAAAAATAGAATTATTGTCCCATATCATGGGGACAACCCCAATACTAGAAATGGCGCGCGCTTACGGTCTCCGTCCCCGATTATGGCTCCTGACGAAGTATCATATAATTATTTCAACTACGGGAGAAAGATTTAAAGATTTAAACAAAACTTGAAACAAAATTCAGGACAACAGGATTCTAAGCTTTGCTAATACAGGTGCAGTCCTGTATACAGCTACCAACTGAGCTACCAACTGACCTACCAACTGAGCTACCAACTGACCTACCAACTGACCTACCAACTGACCTACCTAGCCAACTTAGAGCTGGTAACGTTATGTGTTCGAAATATTCTAATATGTACGTAACTGGCACGTGTTGATGAGCCGAACGACCCTTTAAATAAAGAGATAAGGTGATGACCACAAACAAGGAGTGGCCGAAATTACCGACTTACTTGAACCAGCCATTGTGTCTGACTTGGGGTCCCTTTGATTCCTGTAGCAAGTTAAAATAATCGGACTTTAATAAGTAATGGTAGCTTCAGTCGAGTGTCGACGTCAAAAATTTGGTCAATCATCTGAACTCGTTAAGGTGGCTATTAGTTTAACGAAAGCCAAATGTAATTCAAAACTGGCAAACTGTGAAAGATGTAATGCATGTTTCTTTTTCTTAGCTCAATCTTTGAGGGTTTGGGTTGGTTCCTCGGAAAGAAAAAGAGAAAGCTGACCATAATTTGCTTACCCTCTCTTTGTAAGATCCAGTTACAGTCTAATTCCATGTTAGCCTGAAGGAAATATCTTCCATCAGTCCACAGAGCAGCCTTCGTGCCACTTATAATGGCAGTTCCTGAAAATATGCAGGATTTGTCAATATTTGATGACGGAGATAGGTCGAATTTTTCTTGTTCAAATGATTTTTTTTCTAATGGAAACAGATTTCTAGGAGCTCTCACCGTGCGATCCGCTAAATCCAGAAATGAATTCCCTCCTTTGATGTTGTGGCGCAACATCTTCGCTCTGAAACATTTAACGTGTGTATCTTTGATTTATGGCGCACGTTGGAAGTTTGCAGAGCACGCGGCGCATCCGAGAGCAACTCTAACGTCTTGGGTGCTCTCCAAACTTCCCAAGTGTTTCTCAAACTCATTAATAGTTCATCAAGTTAAAACAAACAAAATCACAACCGTGAAGGAGGTTTGGATACCCGGTCTTAATTAGCGTAGATTTTGACGATTTTACTTCTCCATTTACTCCTTAGTTTTTGTTTCGATTGAGAAGACATATCAAACACCCGAGACAGTGTTTCATCGGCTATCCAAACACCTCGAATTTCGTCAAAAATACTCCGCTGCTCGTCGTATTTTCAACTCTGTTCTCGGTGTTTGGATATCCCGATGAAACACCGTCTCTCGTGTTTGATATATTACATTACAACTTGATGATGCTCGGCTAGGAAGACGAGTCAGTTGTTCTATATTGTCAATAGCAAGAAATATACAACGACCACCTTTCACGCGAAGAAAATTTCTCTGGCGAAGCGAAATTTCCACGGCTCTTGTCGTGAAATGGTATCAGTTGATTATGAGGCAGCTTACGCACACTGAGTTTGCTTGCTGTGTTGTGTTATTCATTTATTTCGTTTGATTTCAAATAAGTTTCGAAGTAACCCAGTCTCATCTGTTTGTAATATAAAGCAGCCTTCACACGGCAAACTTAAGTTGGCAAACCCGCGTTGGCAAACTTCAAAAAGTTGGCAAACTCGTTCCTTCACACGTCAAACTCGCGTCAAATCCCAACACACAGTAAGTTGCAAAAAGGCCGACTTGGTACAGTGACACTCACGTAGAACAATGGAACAGAAAAAAAGAAGAGAAGAAACAGAAAGCGAGAAAGGTTTGGACGAAATTCAGTTTGTCCGCTAGCTCCTCCATTTTCTTTTGTTTGTTTTTTAGTAACTTTGCAGACTACAGATGAAACGTCCCAAGCAGCTGGACAATTGTGAACCTCTTCGATAAATTTAAAAGTGGCCTCACGTTCATCTTGACTTGCGTCCGCCATTTTGTGAAGTATCACGCAAATGAATCACGTGAATAGAGCGCGTGTTTTGATTGGTTGACAGTTGCCAACACATGTTTGCCAATCGTTCACACGCCAGATACGAGTTTACCAACACGAAGAAGTTGTTGAAAAAGTTGGCGAGAATAGAGGCAAGTTCTATTTGTTGCCAACAGTTTGCCAACTTGTTTGCCGACTGTTTTTGTGCCGTTCACAAACACCAGCTTTACGTCGTGATACTCAGCTAGAACGACGAGTCAATTGCTGTACAACATTTCCAATAGAAAGAAATGTACAAGGTAAGCCGGAAACAAACCACAATACCATTTAAACGAGTGGTTTCGCGGCTTATTTAAGCCGAGTTCAAAACCCTCGTCATACACAAGCCGCGGCTTATGTTATCCGCGGCTTGTAAAGCGGCCTTCACATGGCAAACTAAAGTTGGCAAACTCAAGTTGGTGTGTGTGAACATCACAAAAACAGTCTGCAAACACGTTTGCAAACTGTTGGCGACAAATAGAACTTGCCTCTATTTTCGCCAACTTTTTCAACAACTTCTTCGTGTTGGTAAACTCGGATCTGACGTGTGAACGATTGGCAAACATGTGTTGGCAACTGTCAACCAATCAAAACACCCGTTCTATTCACGTGATTCATTTGCGTGATACTTTGCAAAATGGCGGACGCAAGTCAAGATGAAAGCGAGGCCACTTTTAAATTTATCGAAGAGGTTCACAATTGCCCGGCTGCTTGGGACGTTTCATCTGTAGTCTGCAAAGTTACTAAAAACAAACAAAAGAAAATGGAGGAGCTAGCGGACAAATTGAGTTTCGTCCAAGCCTTTCTTGCTTTCTGTTTCTTCTCTTCTTTTTTTCTGTTCCATTGTTCTACCTGAGTGCCACTGCACCAAGTCGGCCATGTTGCAAATTATCGTGTGTTGGGATTTGACGCGAATTTGACGTGTGAAGGAGCGAGTTTGTCAACTTTTTGAAGTTTGCCAACGCGGGTTTGCCAACTTAAGTTTGCCGTGTGAAGGCCGCGTAAGACGCGAACTCCCACTGCACAAGCGCACGTTTTTCCTACGCTCGCGCAATTCCGCGATTGCTATGACAACCAACACAAAACCGAGGCATTATTCACGAATAAGCCGTGAACCATTTATACGAGCACTTCGCGTCTTATATAAGGCGTGCTCGTATAAATGGTCTAGGACGCATCTTATGTAAGCCGCAGCTTATTTTTCTCGTATAAATCACCCTATTGTGTCGACTTCTAATTGACTGACCCCCCGCCCCTTTTCACCTCCCTTGGCCTGACAAGTCAAAATACTGATCTGAGAGTCAATGACCAGTTAAGGAAAATGACTTGAAGGCAGCGGTTATCGTCTCTGATAGTCAAGTAGTACTGGTCAAAATTAAGTTAGTTCAGTATTAGGCTAGTTTAGAACGGTTTTCAGTCGAGTGTCGAAAGTGATCAGGAAATTAGTTTGGTTTTGGTTTTGGTTTTACTACGGTTTGAGATTGGCTGAGAGGTCCAATTGGTAAGTAATTGATTTGGTTTTGGTTTTACGACACTCAAATGAAAACCGCTCTATGATCTAAACCAAGCAGTAAAATGTAACAAAAGAAATAACGTACAGCATGGCTAGCTTACCTGGTGTGCGTCCATGGAGGGTACGATGTAAGCTTTGATTCCAACTTTCCTCATCGCACTCCTTAAATCTGACAACCGCTTCGTTGTGTTGACTGAAGTGCGTGCTAAAAACTAAATCATTAAAGAAACAGGATTGCTTGGTAATCAAGTGGGAATGATGTATGCATACGTCAGGGAGTAAACAAAACAAACTGCACTACGTCATGCAAATCAAACTGAATTGAGCATTTTTAGAGAAAATCCCTTTCGTTGCCCAGGCTTAATGCGAGAGAGAAACTCGTACTCCCATGATATCAGTTAAACTTTGTTGTTACCAACCTGCTGTTTTCCTTCAGAGCACATTCGCAGCTGTATTGGATCTTGAAAGGAAAACACATCTGGAATTTCTGCCATTCCTTAAATAATAGGACGGACATAATGATTTTATTTTAGTCCCAAAAATGGTGGAAACTTGCAATCCGACACAGGTTGAAGTTTTTCTCATCCTACAAATTAAGATCAGTGGTAATGAAACAAAGATGATCAATAGATAACTGACTGACCTGCCCCAAGTATAACGCTGAGGATCGCATAGAAAATTTCCACCATTGTTAGTCTTGTGAATCCACTCTAATTTCGAGGAAATATTACCGCCATATTTTCTGTCGTTACTGATCTCACTCTAGCATATAAGATTCAGCAGAGACTTGTAGTGCAGGTACCGGCTGCGTTTGATGGCATGGCGACAACATAAGTGAATACACCACCAGTCAAAATTTCATAACAAGTGGATCACGGACGGTACGATACTTAAACTAAATTGCTTAAGTTTTAGCGGAGCTCCTGCGCGTCGAAGGCGCGCGAGCGGAGCACCACACCTCAGAAAATTTGGTAACCCATCGATCTCAAAAATTTTGGTTGTCACGTGTCTGTCCGTCGTCCGTATGTCCGTGCGCTGCGGAGCCCAATACCTTGAAAGATAAGAGAATAGCACCATTGCCATAGGTACATCTTTGATGTTGTATATCTGTTATGGTTAATTGAAAGCTGTCAAAGCAAGGTATCCGCTGGCCAGTATCACGGACCATATCGCGGGCTCCGTTTTAGAGGTTATTGAGGTAGAGTGTTTCTCTAAGGTCAGCGGCTGACCAGGTTATTACTCTGAGGGAGAAGAAGAGAGTAAGTTTCGGCGCAAATTAACCCCTAGCCCGTCGTTGACTTTTCTTCCCGCATATTCCTTGCACAATCGTCTCTTGGAAAATCCCTGATATACTGCGTATGTAATTTCTACAATCTCGGTTACGCTTATTGGGCATAGTTTGTTAAAATTTAACTGGAAAAGATACGGAAACCACAGGCTGAACAATTACACACTCAAATTGATCATTTTTGAGTTTCTGAGAAACAAATTCTCTTTTTCCTTTATGGCTAATTATTGCAATCGAGAGCTCCGCTTTTAGGCTTGGCTAAATCTGTGTATCAGTTATTCTTAAGGACGGTGCCTTCTAAATACAAAGGTTTTTGCGCCAGGTTAGGATCATGCGGAAAAAGTAGATCTTTGCAAGGGCTATTGGAATCCACAAAGAACTAGTGAGACAATCTCAGATAGTGCAGAACGCAATTGATAGCCCTGGCACGGTTAGTCCATCAGCTGAAGGGGTCGTATGGCTCACTTAAGGGGAACAAACGAAACTTGTATATTCTTAATCTTTGACTATTGAGCATCATAAAAATGCATGATAGCAAAGATAGAACGGTAGCTTTCACTTTGTAAATCAAATTTTACATTTTCCCCCAATACCCTCTTTTTGGCCGCCATCTTGGAATTCTAAAAAAAAACATGTAAAATGTTATTTTCGTTTGTTTCTCTTCTTAGAGGCACACACTATTTTGCCTGGACGTATATTTGGAATAATTAGTATGTTAGATATTATTTCAGTATTGTGTTTGGTTGTTCAAGCTAGGATGACATCATATATTACGTTACAATGGCCGCCATTTTGTTTTCAAATATCTGACATAACGAAATTACCATTAAGGTGCTCCACACCACAATAACAGAAAAACACCTTTGTCTACGTTTAGTTTCATACTACGCTATGAATCAGTATACCATAACTCAGATGTAACTGTAGGTCCATACTTTAGTCTAGAACTCGTTTGAGTACAGTAACGCCAGAAGCGTATAACGCCCTTCTTCACTGCTGTCACTTACATTTGGGATCTATAACTTCTCAAACTCATAAACAATTCATTAAGTTTAAACATGGTAAATCATGACCGTGGCGGTGTTTAGATACCTGATTTTTTTAGCAAATATTTCTACGATTTCATTTTTCTGTTTTAGTTACGGTAGAGAAGATATAGCAAACACTCAAGACTCTGTTTGAGGACCTTTCCAAACACCTAAAAAAATGTCAAAAATGCTCCGCTACTAGCGCCGTATTTCAACTGTCTCCTTTGTGGTCTTCCAACGCAACGTCATAGAGATGACTCGCATGGCCGCAAAGCCTCTGGCTAGACTTCCCCGCCTCTGGAGCAGTGGACCTTATAACGCAGCGCATCCATACTCTGGCACTCCTTCTCGTACAGCTGTCACGCCAGTGCCTCTTCCAGTATCCTTTCAGGTACTGTTCACTCCTTCCCAATTCTCGCCATAGCTCGGATGTACCTTTCACTGTAGTGGAGAATTAGAAGCTGAACTGCTTACCAGAGAGTATCACAGCCTGTGATCGTGGGTGCGCCAATTAGGACTTCATGAGGCAGTGCTTGTTAGTGCCTTGGACAAGTTACTTCTCCAAGCTGTTAATGACAAAAAAAGTCATTATTTTGGTGTTTCTGCCTCTTCCTTTCTTGATGTAACACATTTCAAGATTATGGCTTTGAGCAAGCAGCAGGACAAAGATATCATTGTCGGAGTGCATGCGCACCAGCCTCTCACATGGTGAACCATACTAATGTCAGCCTCTTCATGATTACACCCCATCTCAGGAACTTGTTCGCATGTAGCTGGGTCTTAGCTTACAACATTGAACTTCGGTTGTCTCGTACATGATTCGGTCCCTGAGCCTGCCTCTGAATGCTTCTTTCTTCCACTGTGACTCTAGCGAATTGGCAATGTCAGGCTTGTTGGCGCTGAAACTGAAAAGCTTGTTCCCTGACTTCGCAGTATAGGCAGGAAGTATGTTCTTGTACTCTTCACCGTCAGAGGTAGAGTCTCTTTTAAATCTATGACATTATTGATAGATACCTCGTGATACACGTCGAACACTATGTCTACGTGCCTGCTGCTGGTGCTCATTACCAACTCAAACACTCTCATAGCAACCACGAGACGTACCTCCAGAGGGCCGGGATATTCAACTTCTGCAAGACCTACATTCCAGGCATACTGAAAATACTGGTTGCGTTCTCTGGGTATTTCTCGGTGACTGTGATGCGTCACTCTAGCTGTCGGGAGAGTTTGGCTTTGCGCAGTTGTTTTTCGTGGGAGTCAACAAGGATCGGCAAGAGACCAAGGAAGTGGGCGAACAGGATAGGCGATAACTTTTCTGTCAATCTGACGAAACTGTCCGACAAGTACCATCAGAGCAAAAACATCACGATTCATAGGAGGAGGAAGTACTACATCCTGCTAGTTACGAACCTTACACACAGCCTACGGATCCTTAAGGTGGCTCAAAACAGTAATATTTAATCTCCGTGAGACGCCTGAGCTCTAGCGCGCACTTCAGCGCGAGGCATCACGCGATCACCAGAGGGTTCGCGAGATAGCGCGCGAGGTTTAATAAAGTTTACTAAAATCAAAACAAACATGGCGGCGCGAGGCCTACTTCGGAAAACTTTGTTTCCGCCAAGTTTAGTAAGCTGTTTGCGTTATCAGTTATTTTTAGTTTCGAAAACATCCATCCTTCAGGCAATTCCAAAGGAAAACATCCCTTTAAACCGCTGTGCTGGAACGAAAATTGTAATGTTGATGTTGCGATCGACCGCGCCGGCTATCAATCTAAAAAACAGCTGGAAAAAAACTACTCTTCAGGCTTTCTTCGTTCTTTGTACTTGGCTAGTCTCACCTCCGCGTGTTTATGGTACTCTTCTTTTCCCGCTTATGCTGCTAACGACAACAGCGAAAAAGACAACACTATTCGCGGACTATTCGCGTTTATTCGTGTGGAATTGTGGGCTTTACTGATCAACGGATCCCCTTCACGAATGCGCAAAGGGCGATCTTGCAAAGTCGAGATTTTAATTTGCGCGTAGAACGCGCGCTAAAATACGTTATCCACGAAGCTAATATCTCAAAAAATGATCCGGTGACCCCATCTTTTTAATGTATAAAAATATTCCACAGCAAAAGCAGAATGCAAATGCGAAATTGCAAAAAAAAAAAAAAAAACTGTGGAGTGCAATTTCTCCAACTTAAAAATTTCCATTTTTCTTAATTCAAGAAAAATCCACTCCACATAATTTTTTATAACTTTGTCTGTTTCTTCTTCTATGTGTAATAAAAAGATTTTTATTAAAAAATGGGGTCACCTGCTTAGTTTTAAAGATAGACGCAATTGATGGTAAAAAATGGGTCAAGTTTGTTGCTATGCAACAGGATAGTGCAACCTTAATTTATGACTTTCCACAATGAAAGGTACAGTGGAGAGTTACCTTAAAAAATTAGCATAGCCATTCAAGACAGTACAGTTCCAAGCCTGAAAGATCGCATTTAGTTCTGTAAGTCTCAAAAAAAATTTGTTAAGGAAAAATCTCTAAACTTTTAGCTACGCGGATTAAATTTACTTTCTCTTACTCTTTTTAATCGACTTTCATCGTTTCAATGCGCTTGAATTTTCAGAGCCGGGCTCTTCCTAATTTGCATGATCCGTAATCGGCCCGTGGGCATTACTTAGCTCTTATTAACCGAGCTGGAGGTCTGTATGGGAGAATCTTGACCGAGGTCGTGAGTACAGACCGAACGCAGTGAGGTCTGTACACACGACCGAGGTTAATAAGATGTTTATTATATGGCAAACAAGAAAACTTTAATTCGTTTAATGTAACTGGTTTGCTGACATTTTGCCAAAGGTGATGAGCTTAACTTAAACCTGCCGAAATCTGCTCGTCCTTTTTACTTTTTTTTTTTTTTTGTCATCAGCCTTTTTGGCACTCCCATAAATGATTGACAAGAAAATAAAAGAAAATGGTGAACATTTTTGTATTTCGTTTGCTACTTTTTCAACGCACAATGAAACCGGTCTAGATGCCGGTCTAGATGGGAAGATCTAGACCGCGGTCAATATCGATTTCAGCCGATCAAATTCGTGTATTCTGTAGTTCCGAGTCCTTGTGAGACACAGCCATATAATAAGGCTGCATAATGACCGCTCAGATCACGCTCTTAGCCAATTAGAACGCGCGTTATATCGGCCACAAACCAAAGCCATATAATAATACATGGTTAATGGTAACATAAAAACTATTTTTCACCCGAGATCACAGAGAACACCTTTGGTAAGAAACAGAAAGGTCCTTGATCTGTTGGCCAAATCACTTGGGTTATAAGGCGAAATAAAGCAGAAAGTCTCGAGCGCATCTCATAGGCTTAAGATTGCCCCC